GGGGGGGGGAACGTTTATACAAGTTTGATAATGAATTTATTTCTTAAAATTGATCAATTTTAAAAAATTTTCAGAGGTTGGAGAAAATCTTACACACCTTTTTGTGTATTCAATAATGATGCCCTCTCTTTTAATAAATCCAAGGAAGACATCATTTATAATTCAATAAAAAAAAACAGTTTTCAATAAAAAAAAACAGTTTTAAAAAAAAAACAGTTTTTTTTATTATTATTATAATAAATATGACAATCTACTGAGATGGAAGGTTAAATATTTAATATTATCATAAAGTAATAATTTATTATTTACTTTATGATAAAGGATAATTTAAAATAGAGAAATATTTAATTTAATTTAATATTTCTCTATTTTAAATTATCCTTTATCATCCTCAGCATTAAAGGTTTTGAATTATCAATAATGAAAAGTACGATGAAAGTGTAGGAGATTTTGTTATTAAAGAATTAGCATATGTATCAAGAGATACTGCTTGAGGTGTTATATATGTTAAACTGCCCAAACCATGGAGTGATTTAACACCTTCCATGAGACGCTTTTTTGTTTCTATTTGTCTACATTTACCAGAAACAAATCATGGGTTTTCATGGAATGAGGGTCATCTTCTATGAAAAATTGGAATCATTTCTCATTTCATTAATGACAGGTTATAATAAAATTTTTGCCCTCAGTACTGGAAGGTTAATATTTTACGAAAAATAATAAATAGTGATGTCAAGGCAGAAATTACATTGGTGGATATGGATATAGATATGGACTGGTTATCATTGCCCACATCACCTTTCCCTTGTTTAAAGCATTTAGGACAAAACAATTTTTGTGCTTTTCAAAATGTCATTTTATATTATCGATATCTTAAGGAATATTTAATAGATCAAACGAGTATCCAACACGGTACAAATCGAGAAGAGGATGTTGATAAATATTGACGAACATCTTAACAAAAAAATGTGTTTTCTTTTTTAGGACAATCTTGAAGCAGTTCTTTTCCTTAAAGACAGGAAACAAATTTTATAATAGGAAACAGATGTTTCTAGAAAGATTATAAATGACCTTCATAACAGGAAACCAAAAATATTTAGAATAGTATAAAAAGGCTACGAGAGCCACAAACTCGGGTTAAAATCATTGCATAGCCGAGAAATCATGGAGGAGGTGTGTGGTGTCTTCCCTTCTAGACGTATTACAGCTGTCAATAGGTTTGTAAAAATCTCCAGTTAGGAAAAATTGGATGTTTATTTAAAGAAAACTGTAGTGCTTTTACATCACATATTCCAAGTGATAGGAATAAACTGTATTATAAACGAGTTCAAATAACTTATTTATTGATGAAAAACCTTGAAAGAACTCTTCAGGTTTGTAAAACTGCACGTCAGTGTAATTCTTACAAATGGACAAGGAGTCATCAAAAACTCCATTTGACTGCGAGTTCATTCGAACGAAAGAATGCAGATAAATGAATAAGCATCCGTTGGAAAAATATTTTCCTTACCAAAAGTTACTTTACTTTTGGTATAAGGATGACAGATCCCTGGAGAGGTCCATCTATAACAAACTACTCAAGCTTCCTTAGTGTACTATGAGGCTTCGTGCCCATCTTTAAAGGAATGGACTTTACAACCTGGAGATGAAGTAAAATTTAAAAAGTATATCCTGCAGCCGAATAGAGTCTACCTCATACCGTCGAAAACAACATATGTTATTTTAACAACACAAAAATCCTTATTTGCTGCAGATCGTTTTCAAGCAACCATTGTGAAAATATTGAAAGATGAACTGAAAATCAGATTTAAAAATCCTAAAAGATATACAGAATTTAATCCATCCAAGGACAATTATGATCCATATAGCAAGCTGCCTCCGACACCTTACCTAGATGAAATGGTAAGATGTTCTGCTTCTTCCATGACACCTCCTCCAAAGAAAAAAAAAAAAAAAAAAAAAAAAGGAAAGAATCAAAAAAACAAAATTTCTGAACTTTTAAATAAATCTGAAGCCGATTTTTTTGGCCGATGAAGGGGTATTTAAAGTACCTCTTCTTCCCCTGCTGTCAAGCCTACATCAACACCGCATTTTGTATTACAGCCAACTGATATGATAATGTGACAAGTAGAACCATCATCACTAATGCAATGTATAATTGCATTAGTAACCAATCAGATATTCAAAAGACTCTACAATTGACATTCCAAATGTTCAGTGCTCGTCAAGTGTTCAACTGAACTTTTCAGAGATAATGTCTTCTGCAAATGTTCAACTGGACTTTTCAGAGATAATGTCTTCTGCAAGTGTACAGTGTTCTACAAGTGTTCAACTGGACTTTTCAGAGATAATGTCTTCTACAAATGTACAGTGTTTTGCAAAACCACAAAACATTGCAGATGGAATGTCTACTACAAGTGTTCAACCAGACATTCCAGAGGCAGAACAGCAAATGGAAACTGAGGATTTAAGACTTTTTAGTAGATTTACTAAATCAATATAATGTTGACATGAACTTTACGCAGATTCCCCAAAATGAAAATGAACTGTGGGAAGAATTTGTATCATTTACAGAATCAATATATTAGTTAATTGAAAAATGAACTGTGAGAGGATTGAATTTAATTTTGTAAAAGATGTGTAATATATAAATAGAATTTAATAAACTTGTGTATTTAAATAAATGGCTTGTTTTTTCAGACATAAATGAAATGTAATTTTCTGTCAAGCAAAAAAGACATATAAGTTAAAAAAATAGTTATATATATGGGAAAGGTGAGCATGTTTATTGTATAATTAAGAGTGGAGTGTGTAAAATTCTAGCCTGTGTACTTCTAAGTTACAGTTAAAGTTGAAGAATCTTAAGAACTGGTGATCGAATGATCGCTTGAGTTCAGAGAGATAAAAACGTAAACATACGAAGGGTTAATTACCCTTTATTATTCACAATAAAGTTAACAGACGACTCTTTCTTGGAGTTACAATAAAGCCTCCACTCAGGCTTGAACTTAGGAAACTAAAACTTAAATAAAAAGATATAGCCAAAGTTATCAAGATTCTTACAGAGTTGGTCCCTTGATTCTAAATAACAGCCTAAAGTATGGCCAAACGTAAAAGAGAGTAGCCTCTAAAAAGGCGTGCTAGACAGAATCATTGGTTCTCTCTAACAAAGTCAGTAAAACTTAAGAGTTCTCCTCATTTGTATTCAACTGCGATTCTAAAACTATGTTCTGGCCGGAAGTTATAAGCTTGAAATTAAGAAGCGATAGGAAAGTAACTCAAAATTTAACTGTTAGATAAATTAACATAATCTTTGCAAGTGTTCACATTAACGTTTCCTCATGGTTGGTTACAACTTGACATAGTTTTCTTATATACGAGTATTTAGAAGGGGGGTCAACAATAGTATAGCTATGACTTGATACTATTTTCTTGTTTATTTAGAGAATAATGGTAGAGTTACAATTTGACATAATTTTCCAATGTCGGATTTTTTAATTTCTAAAGGACATTAAAAGTGTTCAGAAAGTGAGCCAACAATGATATATAAATACAGAATTGTGGTGGATGTAATTTCCCGATTTTTCAGTTTTTAAGATGGGTATCGGTGTTCGAATACTTTTTTCAGGGACTGTAATTTATGACATTGAGTCTTAAATGATATTAGGATAATTGCAGATTAAAAGCTACAAAACATTTATGTTTTGTAACAAGAACACTAAACAAAATATTTATGCATCTTTTTAATTTGAAGCCTTCTCAGACATTTTGGCTAATTTATATCAATTTCCTTCTCTTTAAGCATTTTTTCTAACAATCAGATATTTGTCTCAATATGCAAACCAATGTTCTCACTAGTTTATGTGTGCTTTATCTCCTAACTTGTCAACCTCTTCACAATGTACCTATGAGGGTTTACTTGATCTGGTAAAAGTTAAATAGTCCCTGACAGACATGAAGCAAATTATCTCTATGTCTGAAAGTAATTACAATGCCAGACAAAGGGTTAAATAAGCCTCTTATTTAAAAAAAATTAAAGGCATGTTCTGATGCTAACAAAATCAATTACATATCATGGTGATATAATTAAACAAGAACAGTCAAATTCAAACTAAAATAATGGACTAGTGGTCATTCAATATGTATAGAAAGAAATCATCATGATGCATGTGGACTAGTTGTCAAATACTATACAATTTAATTTTAATTTAAGCTGGCTCAGTAAATCTATTATATGAGGAAACAGAAATGGGAAATTATAGTAAAGGCTGAAATCATAAACAACTGGGTAATTTACATAAAAATAACTGTATATATCTTTGAAGAATAGGTTTCTTTATGTATTCAGTTTCTTTCTTCAACACGTTTGCTTTACATTTTAGACTTTTCAAATTTAATTAAGGATTTCTGTTATTTTAAAACACATAAGTGCATTTAGAATGTATAGAAAAAGCTGCTAATTTTATTTCTTTAGTAATATGAACATTAAGAAGAAATGTAAAATATATATGGTAAGGGCCAGTTACAGAGCTGGTGTGAAAGAATTTGTAGAATTCAGTGACACACCAAGCAACAAGGTCTAGAATGGCAAAACTTTTAGAATTTAGAGCAAGTATTGGAAGCAAAATTTGGAAAGGCACTAGGCAGCAGAATTTAGGATCCATAGAGATTGCATCAGGTGGAAAAATGCCTAGCTCTGTGTATGATGCATTAAAACATATTAGATGAATCTTTTACATTTCTTTATTAACAAAAAAATTACTTTCCATAAAAAAAAATTTTTTTACTCCTTTTATTTTTTATTCCATGCCTGTCCATGTGATAAGATTAGAAGCATTTTTGATATTTTCCATGCTTCTGTCTAGTGAAAAGTAGAGAAAATAAAGGGAACATAAACATGTTAAGAAAAAGATTCTAGTATCAAAAGTAAAACATTCAAATATTATGTTTCCATTGTTCTTCCAGACATCTCCAAAAAGTAAGAAATTCATTGCAAACTTTCTGTAAAATACATCCATTACGTGTTAATACCGTGGAGACATTTTTCATTTTGTCACATATTTCTGGAATCTTCTAGTATCGTGGGCTATAAATCTTGCCTTCAAATCCTTCTAAACTTTCTAAGCAGATCCAATGTCTAAAGATCTAAAAAAAAAATTATTCCTCCCAATTCTGTAACAGAAAAAGACAGAAACATTTTGAAAAAGAAGGAAAAAGTGTAAAATTAATTTATTAGAGAAAACTGACACATATTCTGAGAATTCTGAATATTGAGACAATAATATGGGAAAAACTCTTACTATGAAAAAAATTAAAAAGAAGACATTTTCAATTAATTACATAGCTAATTTTGCTTTTGCTAAGAACTTTTTGTATATTGCACTTTATAGCATTATACCTTGCTTATTTTTCAGATTCAAAATATTGTATAAATAAGTTGCCAAAACAGAATTTTATAATATGACAGCAAAAAATAAAAATGTTTTATTTTAATGTTATTTTTTAAATATAATTTAGCAATATTTGATTTATATATAATTTAGCAATAAGAGCAATAGTTGTGCAAACATTTGCCCGGCATATTATTAGCAGTTACATAAGCCTGCCCCAACACGGCCAGTTGTTTTGGAACCATCTGTACATACAGGGGTGTAACTGCCATATTTATGTCCATGCTCCAGAAAAATCTGTTTATATATGATCTCATTAGTGCTTCTCTTCTCATGACGATGGAAGACTTGAAATATTATTGAATATTACTTGTTAGACTAATACAGTCAAAAGTCTTTAATCCGGACCTCAAAACTGCAAACTTTCTGCGCACGCGTTAACACATGCGCATACCTTTACTCACGCGCATATGCGTCTACGCACGTGCATAATACGTTTATGCATGTGCGTTTAATGTATAACGGATGGTATAAGCTAAGCTAAAATTATCTAATTATGTATTTCAGTTAATGTTGCAGATTGCGTTGTTCCTTAACCTTCTAATTGAATCTGGCTTATTATTTTTTGCAGACTGTTAGAGCAATTTTTATAAAAGTAAGCTTGAACTTTCGATTATGTCAAAAAGAATTTCCGATTCTGAAGCTACCAAAGGATCTACAAAGCGAAAGCATGTTTCGATGTCCATCATACAAAAAGTGAAATTGCTGCAAAAAATGGATAAAGGCATATCCTTTGATTCTCTAAAAATTCCGAAATATGTTTATCAATTTCACGCTGCTTTGTGGGGGGGGGGGACGACGCGGCACGCAATGAACTGGAAGTTGATCTGTCAGCACTATCCTTATCTTCAAGGCAGATGTTTTTATTTTATTCGGCTTATAATTCCTTACTAAATGTAGTATTTCATCTCGATGTACTCCATCTTTGATATGATTTAAATCAAATTCCTCGTCATTATAAATATCACGAATACACATCAAATAGTTTTCTGGTTGCAATTTCCTAATTTCGACTATGCGTAATGTATGCTTTACGCATGCGCACGCTGAAAGAAATGTTTAATAAAGTAAACAAATAAATATTAAGCTTTTTTTTTATACTCTTTAAATCATAATTCCTCTTTATTTCATAAATTACGATTTCATATTTTTTAATTGTATAATTTCTGCATGCCATCTTAACAGATTTAAACTGATGATCTATAATCCGGAAAAATCGATAATCCAGAATTGTCGAAGTCCCGACGAGTCCGAATTAAAGACTTTTGACTGTAATCATATAATATGCACTCATATCTTGAATATTCACATATGAAGAAAATAATACAAACTTCTTCAAATGCTTGGTCGACTTCCTTTGGCACTTTAGTTCACTCATGGTTTAGATGTATATACACGTAACTCTGGATGGTGTCTCTTACATTCAATGACACCACATCTAGAACACAGTGTTTGAAGTTTAGAATTCAGAATTTCCTACAGAAAAAAAAAAAAAAAAAAAAAAAAAAAAATTAAAATTACAGTAATTCATTATCGCATTACAAAATTTTAAAATTGATAAAGTTTAATCTTTAGATTATGGTAACTTGGCGATTTTTTGGCGAAAATTTGGCGATTAACCCTGCTACAACAACCTACTAGTTTTTGTTTGGACGCCATTTTGTTTTCACGAAGTAAAGGCATTTTTTTTTCCCTCAACATTTTTTTCCAACAATCTGCTAGCCGAATTACGCTTATGTCAGAACTTTTATAGAACAAAAGTGCTTAATCATGACGAAGATTAGGTGCGAAATTGGAAGAAAGTTCAGAATCGCCCACTGCTTGCCGCGTTTTTAAGAATTGCACATACACGGTATCATCCATGTACACGTTGACCTATTTTCACTTAAAAAAAAATCCCAGAATTGCACAAAAATGGCATTGCGCACCATGCACTTTATCCATGTACACTGCTAAAGTCCTAGCTAGTAACCTTTATCGTCTAACCAAAATGTCGCCAAACTACCTGTTACCACATTCCAAAGATTAGCCCTGATAAAAAATTGGTAAAAATATGTCACTGTGCCCCTTGGCAAAAACTGGCAATTTTTTGCCGCCATTCCTGTTTACTTCTACGGCCCTCCCCAGTAAAATGGCGTCCAAAACATAATGCAATAAGACATAATTAAAACAAAAAATATGTAATCTCAATGAACTGCATTTTAAAGCAAACAAGAAAATAACATGTGAATAGAATTACATGTTGTGGAATCTATGTAATACAGGAAGAAAATATCGACTTACCTTATTTAAAAATTTCTGTTTCTTCGGTGTGCGAGACATACAGAATTCCTTGACAGCATCCAAAAATTGTTTAAAATTATCTAAACTAGAATCTGTATACTGCCATTGCTATATTAATGCACAAAAGTAAAAATGAGAAATATCCTCCATACTGCTGGACTCTCGGTAGCATATCTTTCAAACATCCCTTTTTATTACATCCCACTTACCTTCCGTAGTGTTGATATGAGCTCTGGTTTCGAAATCCTTAAATATCACTGCGTAATTTACCGAGAGGTGAACGAAGCCATTTAAATCTTCATTTACACACCAGTCAATCAATGTTTTATCTCCTTATCTTCTAAAGTGTACAGAAACTTCAGGTTAATTGTACCCCCACCAGGCATTTTATGGCATAAAGCACAAAATAAACAACATACTTTCTAACCAACATCTAACACATAAATAAGCCCTTACAAATATTTTTCCATCAGTCAAATTCACCACAACAATGCAACCAATCACGTCATAATACGGTTTCCATAACATTCAACTACTCAGGTTACCATAAATGAAACAACAAATTGGTGATACACCAAGGGGCACCCTAAAATATAGACTAACCAAAAAATTTTACACATAAGTAAAAGGATTATATGCCTTAAGATCTATGGGGGGGGAAGCTGAATTTTTTATTACACATATTTTTCACAGATAATTTAAAATACAATATAACTTCCCATGATTCCATTTTTTGGTTGTCTAAAAGTCATTATCACATTAGGTAATGGGTCCCCTTTCCTAGAAACAAAAATTATAATT